ACTATTTATTCATTTATATTTTAAAAATTAGATACCAAATACATTTTAATATTTTTATTTTTTATTCAAGTTTTTATTATATTAACCAAACATGTTTCTAATTAAACTACTCAACCATACCATGAAGCTATGGGAAAGGGTGATAGAGGCTAGGTTGAGACAAATTACTAGGGTTTCGGAAAACCAATTTGGCTTTATGCCAGGCAGGTCTACCATGGAGGCGATTTATCTACTTCGACGACTTATGGAGAAATATAGGGAAAAGTCTAGAGATCTTCACATGGCGTTCATTGACCTTAAGAAGGCTTATGATAGTGTTCCCCGCGATACGATCTGGAAGACTTTGGAAACGAGACGGATCCCAACTATTTATATCCGGGCGATTCGTGATATGTATTGTAGATATACTACATACGTCAGGACTATAGTTGGCGACACCGAGGCATTGCCGGTGGAAATCGGACTCCACCAGGGGTCGGCTCTTAGCCCTTACATCTTCGCCTTGATTATGGACAACATCTATTGTGCGACACCAGACGGTGTACCATGGTGTATGCTTTTCGCTGACGACATTGTCCTAGTTGCTGAAACAAAATCTGAGTTGAATAGTAGATTGGCTACCTGGAAGACTGCTTTGGAAGAAAAAGGTTTAAGGATTAATATTGATAAGACACAGTATTTATGTTCAAACTTCAGTAGGGACCAAAACGAAGAAGATGTAGAAGTATGCATAGAAGGAAACGTTCTCCCCTCAAAGAATTGTTTCAAGTACCTAGGGTCTATGATACATAAAGATGGGGGTGTAGATGATAACGTTACACACCGTATAAAGACGGGATAGCTAAAGTGGAGGGCCGCTACTGGAGTTTTGTGTGACAAGAAGGTGCCTCTAAACTTAAGGGAAAATTTTATAGAATGGCAATAAGACCAGCGTGTTGTATGGATCAAATGTTGGCAACCAAGAAGGATCATGTAAGGAGGATAGAGGCCGCAGAAATGAGAATGCTTCGATGGACATGCGGTAGGACTCTGTGGGATATGACAACAAACTCTGTTATTAGGATGTCCTTGGGGGTGGTGCCTGTTTCCAAAAAATTGAGGGAAGGAAGACTACGGTGGTTTGGGCATGTCCTTAGGCGACTACCATCAGATGCGGTCAGGAGGGTAGAGTCGATTACAGTCGACGGTGCCAGAAGGAGAGGACGACCAAGGCGGAAGTGGGAAGACTGCTTGAGATTTGATTTGATGGATTTAGCCCTTACCGAGGACATGACCTCTGATAGGAAAGTATGGAGACTTAAGACTAGGATAGTCGAGTAGTGTGGGTCACATCTCTAGGGTGTATCATCTCTGTCTTCTTTTAATGTCTTTGTAGTAATTTCCATGACTCATACTTTTTATTCGTTTCTGTTATTGGTATTTATGAAGGCTTAGAACTGGGCTTGCTATCGTTTGACTTCTGTGTATCATTCTCTCCACTTTTAATTTTAGTCGGGTCTTACGTTTCTGTCTATATACAGAGATTTTTTCGCAGGGATTTTTTTTTTTGCAGGGATTACTGCCCATTACAGACGCGCATATGATATTAATGATATTAATAACTGCATATGATTACTGTTCAACTATGTATTTTTGTATTTATTTATACATGCATTGCATTTTATCTATATTTTTAATTTTCTGACTGCCGGAGGTCTTCCACGGAAGCTACTCTCAACCTGGCGTTGGGGGCAGCCTACTTCCCTACCTCCCCCTTACCCCATTGCATATGGGAATTGGGTTTTGTTGTTGTTGTTGTTGTTATGTTTTCTAATTAAAAAATGAAAATGAAAACTATTTTCTAAACACGAAAAACAAAAACAAAAAATATTTTGTAAAACCAAATGGACCCTTAATGTTTCGGTTTATAAAAACTTCTCTCTAATTTAAAATTTTAATTATTCTTCAATAGAATATGTGATAAATCAATTAAAATATACAATTACGATAATAATAATTAAAAAAATTATAATGACCTCATAATAATAATTTGATTGGTATCATATCTATTAAAACAAATAATTATAACAATAATATATTAATTATTATAACTAAAACCATAGTTATCTCAAAACAATAATTTCTATTCTATCATATCTACTAAAACATATAATTACATGTAATTAGTGAATTAGAACTCCCGCACTCTTTCCCAATATGTTGATATTACATTTGTTTATTTTAGTGAATTAGAAATATAATTTATAGCACTACCGCATTATTACATTCAGCACGCGTTACACTTTTTGCATTTCTATTTCCAATGGAAAATGATAAGTTGTTTTTTCTTTGGTGGCGGTGGTTAGCCGCCTCGGTGAGGCCATTAGCCAAAAGGTGGAAAGGCATGAACTTTGCACCCTTGTGAACACCAAAGGAATCCTAAGCTTACGTGCAAAGTATGTATTGGGGGATCCACAAAAGGGTTTGGGGTTGGTGAAGCCATTGTGATTTGTGCATATATAAAGGCTAATTACATAACATGCCCCCAAATTGCACGTCTAATTTTAAATTAATCCTATATATTTGAAAAAAGTTAAATTGAATCTTTAAGTTAAAGTATGATTCTAATTTTAGATCTAACATGGTTCTTAATATCATATACAAATTGATATTTAGTATTAAAGTTTATGTTTTGAAGTTTAAAGATGAATTTAGAAATCAATCCATATTATTCACATGAACCGAACCGTACTTTGACCAACTGACCACGCCAAGGGTAGCCAGAGTCGCATCATTATAGGGCAGTTTGCCATAACAAACTGGACCCCAAGGTCCCAAAAGCTGAATCAACCAAACCCATTTTCATTAAAAAATAGAGTACGAATTATTTGCCTTTTTGTGTAATTTTGGCAGCTTCTTTACTTTGGGTAATTATTTGCCTTTCTTTTTTACATGAATTGAGTTAAATTATGGCCGTGACGATTTTTAGTCTAATGTTAGGTGGGAGGTTAGGATCACAATCTGATTCTTCAAAACCATTTTTGTACAAATTCAACGACAACACTCGTAAGCGAAGATTACATATGGCTAATGTACTTCTTTAAACCCCTTTCCTTGCTTTCACTTTTTCTTCTTTATACTTTGCTCAATTATCACTTTCTCAAGCATATAAACGCCTTTAGATTCATCTTTAGCTAATACTGCAGTTCAATTGTTTATACCATTACTGTTTTTTATTAATATTATGATGTTGAACTTAACAACTGGGATAGAATTTTAAATCGAAAAAGAGATTTAATTTAATTTTCTTAAGGATTAATAATCAAAATTGACCTATATATAACTTGGATTGACAACGTATTTTGAGCAACAGGAAAACTGAGAAAATTTTCCTCCAACGTCGGGTTTTTCATCTCTTCTTTTCTCTTTCGACTCGTAAGTCTAAAATATAATCGGTTAATATAAGACTAAAAAGGATGAAATTAATTATAACTGAAAAATTTACTAAGAGTGTAATCTTTTTAGAGTAAACTGAGTAACACTTTATGTTGATACAAAAATTATTACATTCAGTATAACAACTCATGTAAATTGCATAACTATTCTGATTGTAACCTATAAAGAGTTACGGTTAATATATTTTAGGTTGTAACCGAAATTACTATCGATTGTTTAACATTTTAGAGTAGACATTTAACATTTTAGATTAAAATCTGTCGCAATGTAACATTCTCGATTGTAATCGAAATTATTATCGATTGTATAACTTTTTAGGTTAAAACTCACTGTAAATTAACGTTAGGTTAGTTCATGACGCAGCAGAACTACCCCTTTCAGCTTCTTGTTGTTTGAAAGTCCAAGATATCATTTAAACAGTGAAAGAAAAGTCCTTTCAGGGGATGTTTGTTGGATGACATCTTTGTGCTTCAAAGAGAGCTTCCTTAATGAAGATCATGTTTCTTTTAAGAGTAGTTTTGAAGCATGTTATGGATTGTCCTCTGCTGTTTCATATTAATCGAATTTGACATTATTTATCTGTTTTGAAAAATGACTTGTAACAGAATACTAGTGGTGGCAAATCCTAATGATGACAACTAATAACCCACATGTAAATCAATCACAAGAAAACAAGAAACATGGTCATGCTTTTTCTTCATTCAAAATCCACCATTATTTGGCTTGAATGATCACTTAATATATATACATTAAAAGTATATCAATGGAGTTCCTTTAGTTTGTGGAATGCATGATTAATGCCTTTCTATCTGGCTTTGTAGCATAAAACATATTGCCACCATTCCAGTAACCCTACTTATCTATTATCTAAGTTATCCATCATTTGAGTGAAGAGAAATAAAAAAGAAAAGAAAGATGGGACAAGAGAGATTAAGGATTATACTTATTCAAAAGAGTAATATTATTCCTCCTTTTTTTTTCCTATTGAAAAGGGTCTAAGTAGTTTAAGTATTCATGCATTGGTAAAAAAAATCGAGTACGTTTTTGTGGGTATCAATAATTGTATTTAAAGATCTTATTTTACTATATTTTGAATTAAATTTGATTAGTCATGATTTGTTTGGTCTAGATCACTTCTGCCCTTGAATAATTTATCATTTTCGTCCATATCAGATTTTTTTCACATCAATTTAAACTTCGAAGTTGCTCAATTACATTAATGTTTAAAATATTTACTATTGTTTATGGTTTTAAGTTAGTGTTTAAGGTTTAAGATTTAGGGTTTAAAGGTCAAGGGATTATAGTTTTGGGTTTAGAATTTAAAATTTAGGGTTTTTATGTAAGTGTTAGGGTATAGGATGATAAAATTAAATAACTTTGAGGGTAAAATTGATGTCAAAATTCAATAGCACAAAAATAATAAATTGAATCTACTATATGGGCAAAAGTAAGCCTTAATTAATATTTTTGGATATAAAATTTGAACTTGTTCCTTTCTATTTTCCCTTTTGATGGCATTATAAAAGGAACTTTGTTTCAGAAATTGTTATCACAAAAAACTCCTTTCTTTTACATCTCTCTGTTTCCACGGTTGAACAAGAAAATGGGGAGCTCAAATGTAGCAATGACCTGTCTTTCTCTAGTCTTGTGCATGGTTTTCGTTCCAAGCTTGGCCACGGTTTACACTGTTGGTGATACTTCTGGCTGGACAACTGGTGTCGATTACACCGTATGGACTAAAGATAAGACCTTCAAAGTTGGCGATTCCCTCGGTGATTTCTTAAACCCCAATCTCCGTGTACATGGTACCTTATCTAGTCAAATAATGTCTTTACGTTTTCAATTTTTTTGGTTGCATAGTTTTCAATTACCCAACAAGCCATACAGTGGACGAGGTAAGTTCCGGCGACTACAGCTCATGCACGGTGGGCAATTCAATCACGACGGACAACACCGGCGCCACCACCGTGGCTCTCAAGACTGCCGGGACTCATTACTTCATTTGTGGTGTTCTCGGGCATTGCGGGAACGGCATGAAGCTTGCAGTCAAAGTGGAGTCTGGCTCACCATCTTCCTCCGGTGATAAGCCATCAACAACCACGCCGCCTACTACGACTACATCGACGACGTCGACTAAGTCCCCAGCGGATACCTCGTCTTCATGGAATGTTTCCCCATTTATGGTTGTTGTAATAACTTGGGTTGCATTGTTTGTGATGGTTATTTCGTAAAACTTTGGGGTTTGCCTTGGGTCAGGATAGAGGCAGTGCTATTTTCCTTTGTTTAACATGGGTTGTATTCTGGATTATTGCGTATCTTTATGAATGAAGAGGTTATCTTTTCATGTCTTCCGGCATAGTATGTACAAGTTATTGTTCATTGTTTGTATCATGTTCAAATGTGAATGCTGATTGAAATTTTCAATAATCACCTTAATCCTTTGACAACATTAGCATATTAGAGCCCTAAAAATTAATTCTGATCCATGACTGAACAGATAATAGACAAGTAAAGGTCAATTCCGTTATTATTATTATATATATATATATATATATATATATATATATATATATATATATATATATATATATATATATTAAAAAAAGTAGTCTCGATCGTGTGTGTTTTTTAAAGTATATAGTAGATTATTTATTTATTTATTTATTTTGATTTTTAAATGATGCAACTTTAATTTTGTAACTTTTATATCTTATATTATTTGTTTTACAAATTTTGAGTAATTTATATTTTTTGATTTTTTGATTTGAAGGATCACTTTGGTGGTTTAATATGATATTCACAAACTCGATGGTTTGTAAAGGTCGTATTTGAGGGTGTTATACAATATTTTAGGTATAATATGGAAAATACTCTAACATTTGACAAAAATAATCACTTTGACTCATTTTTTCTTTTTCTTTGGATCATCTTAACATCTAACGTTTTATTTTGGTATAAAATAACCTTTGGTTGGATAAAAACCATTAGTTGAATAATGGTTAATGTTTGTGTTGATGTGATAAGTCTTACGTGTTTAAAATGATGACTTGATATATCTTATGTATTCAAAGTGATGGCATGACACATCTAACGTTTTATTATCACATTCTCGTGAAGGTGTTTAACGAATTAAATATGTTAATATAACTTTTACGAATTTTCAGTCACATTTTTCAATATATATCAAATATTATAAAATAACTTTTTAGATATTAACATTTCCAACGATAATATTTTTTAATAACGTGCAGTAATTATAATGTAATATCAAGAACTTTCTTAGAACCAATTTGGAATAGTTTTTGAAAAGTAATATTTAAAAGTGATATAGGTCAGTTTAGTAGATCTTTTGAAAAGTGACATTTAAAAATGTTGTTTAGAAGTGTAATTTAAAAATTTAATTGTTTGAGATTGTTGTTAAAAAATGGGTTTGAAAAGATAAAAAGTATATTATAAATATTATATTGTAAATTAAAATATAAAATTTAAATTATATTTACACTTATTAATACTATATATACAATATATCACATAAAATATAATAAATATGAAAAATTAAGATAATTGATTAAGTATAATAAAATATATTTTATAATAAATTACTATTAATATTTTAATATATTAATCATGAATTTTATTTAATTTTAAAAAAATTAAAATAAATTATTAAGTAGTAATTTTTTTAAGGACGTGAATATTAAATTACAAAAATAAAATGATAATTGAGTGAAGCCTATGCATTAATAAGGGTAAAATTAAATTTGCTCCCAAGCGTAAAGTTAAAAATGGAAAAACTACAAATTATGTTTTTGTGGTTGGTTTGAAACCACCATTTAGATCGTATTTTTTTTACCCATTTGACATTGATTTTACGGTCAAAACAAGCTTTTTAGCTAAAAGTGCGTTTAAAAAGTCATGCCAATTGATGCCGTAGAAACAAACTTTTAAAAATATTATACAAAATGCAATTTCAAATTTAATTGTTTGTGATTGCTGTTGAAAATGAGTTTGATAAGATATAATATTCACTATAAACATTATGTTATAAATTAAAAATATAGTATTTAAATTATATATATATATATATATATATATATATATATATATATATATATATATATATATATGAATCATATCAATTTAAAATATAATAAATTTAAAAAATATTATTATATATGAATTATATCAATTTAAGCTATAAAAAATTATAAAAAGTACAAATAAAAACTATAATTACAATAAAATATATTTTACATAACTAACTATTAATATTTTAATAGATGAGTCTGCTACGCTCGATGAACACCGATGAATGCCACTAACAATAAGTACCTTTAATTTAATTTACAAAATTTTAAAATTCTAAAGGGCTCAACTTATAATTATAAATTAGTTAAATTTTAAAATAAAAGGTAAACTATATCAGATTATCAGTGATCACTAACTATTGTTCTTTTTCATTTTGACTATCATTTTTGAAACTTTGTCAATTAGGTAATTAATTATTTAATTGCATTTAATTAAACCACTTATCATTAATATTTAACGGATAAGCTGATGTGACAGTTAAAATATTTAGTATAATTACACATTTAGTCAATGTTACTTATATATTCTATCAATTTGGACCTAATTTTAATAAATTAAACTAATTTTTACCCTTAAATCAAATAGTGTCACGTGTCACTGGTACCAAGTGTAATGACACCTGTCACAATCCAATTGAACGATTAAATTTCTCACCAATCAGAGGGTGACATTAAAGAACATTTTGGACGCTTAAATGATACCCATGGGACTTTAACATAGGGTTCATAAGTTGAAGATGCAAGGCTCAACCATTGATTCAAAGTAGTTATTTGGTTCAAATTTGATTACATATGTTGTATATTAGTGTAAACTTAAATTCTTAATATTTTATATATCTTAACTAAAATTCAAATATTAAATTAATTTTACATCTTAACATTAAAAAATGTATTTCATTTTTATATTAACTTATTAAATATATTTTATTCTTGTCTTTACTAAAAAATATATTTTATTCTTATTTTAACTTAAAAATATATTTTTAGTATTTATCTTAACTTAAAAAATATATTTTATTCTTATCTTAACTTATTATATAATTTATATTCTTAACTTAAATTATTAAATATATTATATTCTTACCTTAAATTATTAAATATAATTAATTCTTATTTTAACTTAAAACATATCTTTTATTTTTATCTTAACTTAAAAATATATTTTTATTTTACCAAAAAATATATTTTATTTTTATCTTAACTAGAAAAAATATATTATTTTTATCTTAAATTATAAATATTATTAGATTAAAATAAAAATATTTAAGTTAATATAAGAATAAATTATATTTTTTAATTTCATATAAGATTAAAATATATTTTTGCAGTTAAGATAAAAATAAAATATATTTTTAGGTTACGAGAAGAATAAAATATATTTAATAAGTTAAGATAAAAAATATTTTTTAATGTTAAGATGTGAAATTAATTTAATATGTGAATTTAAGTAAAGATGTATAAAATATTAAGAATTTAAGTTTACATTAATAAACATCATATATAATTAAATGTAGTTAAATTTGAACCAAATAACTACTTTGGCTCAATGGTTGAGCCTTGCTTCTTCAACCCAGGAATCCTAGGTTTGATTCCCCTAGGTAACAATTAAGCACCCAAAATTTCCTTTCCTATAGAGGTCACCCTTTTATCGGTGAGAAAAATATATTAAATTAAAATAAATTTAATGATCCAATCGAATGATGACACATGCCATTACACTAAACACCAGTGACACATTGTACCATTTGATTTGAGGGTGTTAAGTTTATTTTAATTTATTAAAATTAGAACTAATTGATAGAATATATAAGTAACAATGACCAAATATGTAATTATTTCAAATATTTTAAATACTACATCAGCTTATCCGTTAATATGGTTTAATTGAATGCATTTAAATAGTTGAGTGACTTGATTGACAAAATTTCAAAAATGATGGTTAATATGAAAATATACAATAATTAGGTGGTCACTGTTATAGTTTACCTTTATATTAAATATTTTACCTTTAAATTTTTAACTAATTTATAATTATATTTTAACCCTTTAGAATTTTAAAATTTTTAAATTAAATTAATGGTGCTCATCGTTGCTCGTAGAGTGCTGTCGAATTTTCCTATTTTAATTTATAAATCATAAATTTTATTTATTTTTAAATAATTAAAATAAATTATTAAAAATAATAAATTATTTTTTAAGGATGTTAGTATTTAATTATTAAAATAAGATGTAATACATAATTGTCAACATCATTTTTTTAACAAAATAAAAAATTTGGTTTGACTTTTGAAAAATGATGGGAGTCCCCACCAACCGGTTTAAGGTAATATTGGAACACCAAAATGTTTAGGTCTACAAAAACAAAAATTGAGTTCGGGGGAACAATTACGTGCGAGGAAGGGTTAACACCCTCATTACACCTGTAAAAATAACGTTTACTTGACCACAAATGTTTTATCTTGACTCATGTATGCAATTAATGTATTTTTAGATTAATAAAAATATTTAAATTTTCAAGAATAATTTTGACTTCTCTAACGACTAAGAGAATCACAATTATAATTGAAACTCCTAAAATTTAATAAATTAATTTGTATAAAATTTCGAGAGCGAAGTCTTTCATGGGTTATCTCAAGCATTCTCCAGCGTCTATAAGAATATTGAAATTTAATCCCATTCAAGAAGACACCTCAATTTTCATGAATCAAACCCAAAGCTTAGAATTTACAACTCTTTAAAATACCTCAAAATTTTCTAACATCTAAGAAAATTTAGAAATATTCCTCAATTCCAAAAGTCCTAGATTTATGATATAATTTTTGTAAAAAAAAATAAAAGGTTTACTCTCGTTAAATAACCTCAAAATCCTCTAATGTCTAGAAAGATGTCGAATGTCCAATTAATTCAAAACCATACCCCGTTTGAAATAATGTGACTAAAGTATTAAAAATGTTTGACATGTTTCTTTAGTCTAGAAGCAATGAACATGAGCACAAAAAAAGGGATTCACTAACCATTCTAGATTCTAAAAACTAATGTTCTCTAATCATAACATCAAGTGCTAAATTCTCTCACTACATCTCTAATACCTAAAATAAAATAAAGTGGAAGATACAAACTAAAAATAAATTTAAAAGCTCTAACTCATGCAACATCTAGAACAAGGAGGACCCCTTTTTAAATATTTTAATTTTATCAAGTAAAAAACTTAATAATAAGATAACTTTTAGTATGTGTAAAAACAAATTCAAAATTT